CAGCATAAGAGGTATTAGCTGACCTTTGCGGCAGTCCATGTCTCCCACCTTTGCTCTATTCAAGCACTGTTGCCTCTGCCAGACCCTTCAGTATTTGACACGTTCGGGAGTGTCAGATAACGGTGTTCCCTGCCCTGCTGTTCATTCCTCTGACCACTACATCACAGCTGAGTTCCGTAGTGACATAGAGCTTAAGGGCCGGTGCAGACCTAGGCGACTCCTGACCGCGCGACAATCACGGAGTCGCCCACCACAGATGGTCGCGCTGTGGGTGCCATTATTTTCGAATGGCACCTCAGTCGTGCCGGAGCAGATTGCGCAGTGTTCCGCCGTGATTGCGCCCGTGCATCAGAACACAATAGAAATAGCAGTGCGTCGTGTATCGGAAAAAAATGGTACATGTACCTTTTTTCTGCAATTGCCGCGCAGCTGTCAGCCCATTGAAATCAACGGGGCCGCACGGCAATCGCTGTTTGCATTGTGCAGAACCGCTCGATCCCGGAACACTCAGGTGTGCTCCGGGCCTGGGGGATGAACTCGCGGCATGACAATCCTGGAGGTGTCGACTGCTGAATATTCTGGTGGAGGCTGCAGTGCTGGAATGGAGGGAAGATAGAAGATACGGGCCACTGGAGAGATGAGTAGTGACAAGGAGGTCATTATAAAGGAAACCTGTATCAAGACAACCGAATCAGATTGTGGCTTTTATTGTTTTTTTTTGTCGGTGGGAATTAAACACTTAATAACTTCTGAGTTGTTATTTGCAAAGTTACTATCATCCATCAGGGTGTGTTTGCTCCAGAGACAAAAAAAAATGAAAATAAATGATAATTTAGATCTGCATAAATTCCTCATATAGGATTTTTAGATGTATGGGAAGAACGGGGCAACTAAAAATAGTGAGCTCTGCATGTTCCAAAAGGACATAATGACATATTAATACAAATGTGTTTTCAGAATCCAACTGTGGTTGAATATACTTATGAAAGTTCTGTTACACTGAACGGATTGAACTAAGCAGAAGTTGTTTTATTTTATCTTATTAATATAGGAAGTTACCGGAATATACAGGAGCAGCAGACTGGTTACATGATCTCAGCCGAGGTAAAGCCACTTGTCTGGAACTCAGGGACTGCTTTTTAATGATGACAGGTACAGCCTTTTTTGCAAAATGATAATACTGCTGTATATTGTTTATTATCAGGAAATTATTCAAGAAGACTTGTAAAGTTACTAAATAGTCCACTTTAAATTGTAAGCATGAGGTGGAAGCCATGATGTTTTGCAGAGTCAACAATGCCTCAGTTTTTTTAATTTGCACTGCGTGGACTATCTTCACTTAATAATTAACAATAGGTCACATCCACGTATGTACTGTAGATGGTGAGTTTTGACTTCATGGACCTGCTATAGGTAGTACCATGAACCTCTCATGCTAGATCATTCCAACTGGAGAGACTTAATACAAAAATCATTAATAAACTTACCAATCGTTTTAATTCATACCTGGTACTGGTTCATGTGAAAGTGGTCTTCAGAAGTTCCTTTTCTGCAGGTGAAAACTCCACTAACCCATAGTTCCTAGTTCTTATACAAATGACCCTTGTTGGGTTTTGGGTTTGCCCCTTTGCTGTCTATTTTAAGGACAACACTAACAGTAGACAAGACCAGTTCCCTGAAACCCTCATGGCTCAAATAAGCTTTTTGGTTACGGTAGAAAAACATTGGTCTAGCATAACCTAAAGGCTTTTTCTGCCACTGGAATATCTCCTTTGACTAAAGATTACCCTAAAGATAGAAAAATAGACAATGCAAACATTTCCATGGTCTACTATCTAAGGTCAGATCTCTCACAAGGAATGATTGGCAATGGGACACTGGCCCATCCCCGCTCAAACCACACAGCACTGGGACGCGCCTTATTTGTTCTCTCCAATTAGGCACAAGTGTGTTCATGGGAAGGAGCGGTCCCTAATTGATTAAAGACCATTTCCAACTGTTGCCTTCTCTGCTTGCAATAACAAGCATTCCCAGTGCTTACATAAAATCTGAGAAACAAATTCACACTCTAATGCAACCAATGCATCTATTGAAATATCATCTGTTTATGACGAGCCCAACATTTTAATGATAATTTATTACCACTCCGCATATTCTGGTCAGGTACAGATCATCATCTGAATAACAGGAGCCAATCCAAATGTCAAAAGAACTTCTACTGAACAGGAGCCCATATGCCTGGTTGCGCCAACAGTTCCAAGCTGGCCAACAGACTTTTGCCCATGACATGGGGCTGCTATAGAAGGGCAGATGCTTTGATGAGATTAACGGATGCTAAGTCATCTGCCACCGCAACTGGCTGCAACATCCTCCTTAACTCCAATCAACACGTGGATGCGGAGGTGAAAATTTGTTCCATTTCCTCAAAAGGAAAAGGGACTTATAGGACTTTGGTGGCTCATGTGCTTTCCACAGTCTTTTCAATGTTTAGAAAAACTTATCACATCTTCCTGGTAACTCTACCCGATTATTACCCAGTCCTTGCAATCACACCCTGCGGACACTCTAAATACCTTCCATCTCTTCCATATAGGAGCAAAATGACCAATATTTGTGTTTCATTCTTTTTTGTGTGGATGAGAAGCACACTGCTGGCACACGCTCACATAAATAGAAGCTCAAATGCAGCAAAACCTTCTGCAAATGTTTGTTGTTCTTGCGTCCTCCTGTATCAAACAATATTGGTCAGCATTGTATCATTAAAAATTGATGTCATCCATTCAAGATCATACACCCAAACAAAGAACTGTGAGAATCATTGTTCCCTGTAAAGGCATTAGAATGCTTTTAAAAATAAATATAAAGAAACAAAAAAGCAAGAGCAGTAAAACAATCACAAATATGTATTTTATCTAAAAAAAAAAATACCCAATGATCATTTCTGACAATGAATTAAATCTCAAATAACCAAATGAAAACTTAGCACAAATGAGGTAAAGAGGAACAGTAGGTGGTATTTACTCACAAGGTTGATTTCAGTAATATCAAGAAAATTGAGATTTTTTGGCAGCAGAGATCATGTACTGTACAAAACAAAGCATTGAATTCTAAAAACCTATGTACATCTACATCTGAGGACGCTAACACAGCGCAAACCTTGTCAATATTAGGTGGGGGAGGGGGGGCTCCTCAGATATGGCCTCACCTCTGGGTCCTGTAATGACAGGTCGATGATGCTGTGTAAACGCCGTTCCAAGAGAAGAGGTCTGCGAAGGAGAAGGACTGCTGAAACCAGACTTCTCTGACTTCTTTAAGGTAGGCGATGGCATTCCTGGCAAGAATGATTGATAAGTGCAATTTAATAATGCTAAGTCATGGAACCACAGCCTATGCATTGTGAACGTGGCTGTCGAAGCAAGATCCATTTAGCGATACTCAACCTTACGCGAGGCCCTTGGCAAAAATGCCCAACCTATGCCCTCTAAAAACATGGCCAACCCATGCCCTCAGGAAACATGGCCAACCTGTGCTCCATAAACATGGCCGACTGGTGCCCTTGGTAAACATGTGCCATATGCCCTCTCTAGAGTGTAGAGCTCAAGATGGCTCTGCCTGGCCTGGAAACACTTTCTGAACTGTCTGACCTACTCAAAACCAAAGGTTTGTGATTGAACTTTACGGAGGTTTGACAATAAAACCATAGAAGCAAAGATGAAGGATTTTTCTTAACAACTTGGACCTCTGGACAGTTTGGCCTTGGAAGTCATCTGACATCTGTGTTTCTAGTTGAGGAATTGGTTTTGAAGGAGCAAAGGTTGAGTATCACTAAACAGGCCTTTTAGGGGGAAAAAAGAAGGTAAGACAACAAAATACTAGCAGCAAGGATAATTAGTACATTAGCAGAAGGTTAATTGTCAGTTGTATGGTCAGGAAGATAAATAAGTAACGAACCTTTGTGTTTTCACTATGATGAAACTAATCATTTTCAGATGTTCTTGTGTTTCAGTGTGATGTCCTTCTGAATGCATGAGCTGTGTATTAGGCTAGCTGACAAGAATTCTGACTTAAAGTCTAAAGCCAAAACGTAATTTTTTGCCTAGATTTGGGAATTATTAAAACCCCTGTCATCGGTGTCCAATTAGGAAAACGTTCCCTCACTTGTCCTAAAGCCACCACAGTGTCAGAAGATAATTGCTTCTAAGTGAGGGAAATCTTCTCCTTGTTGTCACAGAAAAAAAGTGTCCCCATTGGAAGACCTCTTCTCTATTTCTGTTCCGGTGACAACTCTAGGGGCTGATTTATAAAGTGCTCACCCAGTGTATAGAACAACATCTGCCCAGCTATACAATGGATATATACTTTATAAATCAGCCCTTCCTTACATATCAAACTGAGATGGTGATTCTCCCTAGTGGGTGGTATGACACATTTCAGGCCAGTCTGTCTCCTTTTAGCAGAACTATGTATGCTGGACAGTTGGAAGTTCTGAGAAGCATTTCCACTAATCTTGATTTCTAATCTGAACCTTAGCCTACATGATAGAGAGGTTAATGGCAGTATTACCATTGCATCCTATATCCTGTATGTAATTAAATTACAATATGCAAAAGTTTACTGAAAACTTTCAGATTACCATAAAATCGAAACTCCGTCCAAATGCTGATTTGCCTTCATCTGGTTTTCAAGATAACTGGGATTTTATCTTGTTTATATCTAGGGGGGTAGAGGATACCACGTGGATTATGTAAAGTCACATTCTGGCTCCTTTGATCTCTCAGAGACTGCTGTGTCTTGAGATATTCCTAGTTTTCTAATATCGTGGTCATCATAAAGCCAAGCGATGGTGTCATGCCCGTCACTTTCAAATTGATTCTCCATTGATGAACCTCTTCTGACATATTCATCATATACCTCTTAAAGTGAATTTAAAGAAGTCCATTTAGTTTTAGTTTTGTATAAACTGGGGAAGGGTTAGAATTTTGTTTTTTACTGCCAGAGTAGGAGCGCTGGATCTCATGACTGAGTGGATCTATGAGGGGAGGCCAATAAGTACTTACCCTCACCATGATCAAGATGTGCTAGGGATCTGACATTTTGCAGGTTTATAGGAGGATATCTTAGTAATATGCATGCCAACTTTTGTTTTTGTAGGTTGTGGTGAATTATAGTCAGAACCAAGAGAAATGGAGTAGGTGTCATGCCGGACAAAGTTGAATACCGAGCCGTGATTAGGTTCCTCCATCTTCAAGGGAAATCTGCCCAAATAATCCATGAAGAGATGTCAGCTGTGTATGGAGACGATTGTCTTAGCACTTTACTAAGATATCCACCTCTAAATTTCAGATCCCTAGCACATCTAGATCATGGTGAGGGTAAGAACGTATTGGCCTCCCCTCGTGCTTATGCAGTTGTTTCCACATGCTGCTCTCTGATATTACAGAGCCTTATCCAGGTACTTACAGGGTTATTCACAGAAGGGTGTAGAGTTTGGAGAAGGCCGGAGAAGTGAACAATCTAGGACAACATCGCTGAACCGGAAAGTGAGCTGAATTGGAGAATTTTTCCAAATCAGCTATTTTGGCCTAGATTGTTTACTTCTCCCATGTTCCCCAAACTCTTCACCCTTTTGTGAAAAAGCCTGTCAGAGTCAGATCATTGAGGTCAAAAGAAAGAGAGCTCCAGATCAATTTCATCTGTTGTTTGCATTCAAAAAAAGCCAATGAGGGGAATTTATCAAAACTGGAGCAGACAAAATTTGGAGCAGTTACCCATGGCAGCCAACCAGCTTCTCTCTTCAGCTTGTTTAGTTAAGATTTGAAAATAAGAGATGCTGATTGGTTGCCATGCACAGCTGCTCCAGGTTTTGTCTGCTCCAGTTTTTATAAATTCCCCTCAATGTGTTTCAAGGGTTCCAAAAAGACCCCCTTCATCAGGGCTTAGATGAAGTGACTGGCAGCATATCTTTACATGAATACAAAGATTTCACAGTTAATCATACCCATCTCTGTCCAAATTGGACCGTTCTGTTACATCTCTGAGCCCAGATCAAGTTGATCTTTTTAAACTCCTGTAATGAGTTAGATGAATATTGAATGCAAACAATAATTAAAACTCATTTGGACAGAAATTCACCCTATTTGTCCTGGTGACCACTGCCAACATTTTGAGATGTTACCAAAACAAGAATAGAGTGGAAATATCTGTAAAAAAAAATAAGTCAAGGATACTGGACTTGCTGTATTTTTCTTGAAGACGTTTCACTGGTCATCCAACCAGCTTTCTCAATTCAGAATGACTTGTACAAAAATCCTCTGGGTACTCTTTTGTACAAGTCATTCTGAATTGAGAAAGCTGGTTGGATGACCAGTGAAACATCTTCAAGAAAAATACAGCAAGTCCAGTTGCCTTGACTTATTTTTTGACAGATATACCATGACCTGGATGAATGAGAACCCTCACAGACAGTGTGGAAATAGTCCATTGGGAACACCTGCTATGGGGACAACTAAGATGAGGTTTTCCCTCACTTTAGAAGGTTTCTTCTCACTTCTTGTGTCTACAGGACAGGAAGTGAAGGACATTCTCCCTAATGGGACAGCGGTAGTGGTTTACACCCTACCCTACTCTATTCAAAATGAAAATAGGTTTTGGCTTTAGATATACATTAAAACCTTATACATTTCCCTGGAATTCTTTGAGAGCTATAAGAAACCAGAAAGCGAATCCACCCATCTGTGTCCAACCACACTAAAAAAAAAAATCAGATGGAGCTGTCCTTGAACAATATGCATGTGTGGCTTGTATAATGATGCAACGTGATGTAAATTGTTACTCTGTTTATAGTAAGTGATTACTTCTTGCCCAGCCTTACGATTAAAATGAAATATATGTATATAGTGTACTTGTAGTTGTTGCAGCTCTTTGAAACCTTCCGTACACAGGAAACCAACTTTTGCCTGTCTGCCATGTCGCTTATCAGCGGTATATTTAGAAGTGTGTGCACGATAAGACCATATGAACTGACAATCAACAGACACAAGTAGACGGCTCATTATAATGGCCGGAGGTGGGAGACGAGGAGTCAGTGTTATTCAATGCAAAGCGGTTAGTCACATTCGGAAAATCATGGTGCAGTTTGGCATGTTGCATTGGCAGGACGGTGCTCTGGTTAGTGAAAAAAACATAAAATAACATTCTATAAAAAGGTTAGTACAGTGAGGAGCGCACTCTGCATGCAGATAAACATTCTGACATTCATATGATTTCATAAACAGCAGCAAAGTATCATATATTTCTGCTGATGCCACTTTTAATGTTTTTTATTTTATTTTATTATCCCCGGTTTCAATGCTTCCTTGCTTCCCCCATATCTACTGGCTCTATTATATTTGCCTAAAGGCAATCTACAGTAAAGTATAATGTATGAAAAACCTCAGATGCAAGCTGCCATTCTGTAAGTCATTCCGAAGCAGAAAAGATAAACAAATTTATCTTTGCCGCAATGGGCCTTCACTGTGCCAGGAACCAGTATGGGCGGAATTTATCAAAACTGGAGCAGTTGCACATGGCAACCAATCAGCGTCTCTCTTCAGTTTGCTCAGTTAAAGCAGAACCATGGGGTACATTTTCGACTCCATAGTTCTCCTTAGGGTAACGGGAGGACATACCATGTCCTACCATGACCCAAAGCTCAGTATATCGCGAGCTACAGCTCGCGATATACTGAGACAGCCGCAGCCTGTTGCAGGGAGCGGTGAGTGACAGTCACGGCTCTCTGCAGGGACATGATCGAGAAGTGAGTGAGCGCCGGTATGTGTTCACTCACTTTCCGATCTATGGAGCCGACCTGTGACAGTTTCATTGTCACATGTCGGCTCGAACTATGAGGATGAGTGTAAATCACTCACCTCATAGTTCTCCTTTAAGATTTGAAAATGAGACAGAGAAGCTGATTGGTTGCAGTGCAAATCTACTCCAGATTTTGTCTGCTTCAGTCTTGATAAATTCCCCCCTATGTATTTTAGGTGACATAGAGCATCATGCATTTTTAAATGTTAAAGTATTTTTATAATTGGCTGTGAGGAACTACAGGTCCCAGTATGGTGAAAGTGTGCCGGCTGCTTTATAATGCTTAGATTTCAGTGTATATGAAACAGATATGTCACAAACAGACCAGTAGTGGCTTTAAAAGCTCATTAGCATGGAGTATGTTCAGCTCTTATGGTGCTTTTGCCAGAGGGACTTACAGAGGGCAGAAGCTACTTTTGGACGATATCAATAATTCTTTTTTGTTACTTAATGCTAAGCTGAATTCCTGTGTGTGTGTGTATA